AAAGAAAGAAAGAATACATCATAGGAGCTGAGAAATGTGACTTAAAATCTGTGGGTAAACCTTTCACCTTTGGTGAACATGTAGGTCTTTTTAGTTATGGATTCACTTTAAGAGAGTAGGTTGTCGATTTTTTTTTTTTTTTAGTTTTTAAAAGATTCAGAATATAAAATCCAGTGTACGTTTGTTGTAGAAAATTTAAAGAGGAAATATTGTTTATATTTTAGCACTTTTTATTCTTTTAAAAACGTAACTATTATCCAAATTATCTGACTGTATATTTAACATTAACTATAAACATTTTATGATTTTTAGAAACCCATTTGTGATCATATTTTTAAAGAATATGATTCTATCATGATGTTTCATTATAATGCACAAACCATTGTGCTAGGTATTAATGTAGTTTACAATTACTACTTTTTTCCATTCTATATTCTTTCTATGGGAATAAGAATGGATTGTTTTTAAAAAATCTTACACAGCATTATCTTGGAATGCTTTTGAGTTTGCGTAGACTACAGAGGAAATTTACTTGGTTCTACAAATGATATTTGAGAAGAAATTTGGGTAAGTATGGCATTTATAGTATTGATAAACTGAAGATTTAATTGAGTGTAAGTTTCCTATGGGAAGCGGATTTTTATTTGAGTAAGGGAAACTATCAGAGATCTGAGACTGATCTATTTTGGAGGGATGGGGAAGAATATATTAAAATCACCCGTTTTAACTTTATCATGAGATTGCAGCAATACAGCCACATCTTCAGGCTCCATTGCCAGTTCTAGCTCCCTTGATATTTCTATCACATCTGCAGTTATTTCATCGACTTCTAAACTATAAGAGGGCTGCAATCAACTTCTTCCAAACTCCTGTTAATGTTGATTTTTTGTTTGTTTGTTTGTTTGATTTTGCAATTTTCGGCTGGGGCTGGGTTTGAACCCGCCACCTCCGGCATATGGGGTCGGTGCCCCACTCCTTTGAGCCACAGGCGCTGCCCTTAATGTTGATATTTTGATTTCCTCCTATGAATCATGAATACTCCTAAATGACATCTACCATGGCGCATCCTTTCCCAAAGGTTTTCAATTTACTTTGCCCATATTTATCAGATGAATTCCCATACTTGGCAGCTGTAGCCTTACAAAATGTATTTCTTAAATAATAAGACTCGAAAGTCAAAATTAGTCATTGACCCATTGGGCTGCAGAACAAATCTTGTGTTATCAGGCAAACTTTAATCTTGTAAATTTTCATCAGAGCTCTTAGGTGGCCAGGTACATTGTCAGGGACCAGGAATACTTTTCCAGGAATCTTTTCCTGAGCATAAGTTTCAACAGTTTCTTTAAGGTACTCCGTAAACCATGTTGTAAACAGATGTGCTGTCAGCTAGGCGTTGTTGTTTAATTTATCTACAGTATACAATCAGAGTAGATTTAGCATAATTCTGAAGGGTCTTAGGATTTTGGGAATGGTAAATGAGCTTTGGCTTTAACTTAAAATTATCAGCTATATTAGTCACTAGCAAGAGAGGCTGTCCTTTGAAGCCAAGCACTGACTTGTCCTCTCTAGCTATAAAAGTCCTAGATGATATCTTCTCTCAATATGAAGCTATTTTGTCTACATTAAAGATCGATTGTTTAAGAGTCAGCATTTGTTACTAGAACAAACTTCTAAGTTAAGTGCAGTTTGTTGAATGGTTGCAGAATATCCTGTTACCTTTCATGTAATAATTTCTAGCTTAGTACATTATAGTCGTAGAACAAACTTTGAATGGTTTTAAGCCTTTGCAATATTATAAGGTTTTTTTTTTTTTTTATGACCCAATATGGTCTGTCTGGGTGAAAGTTTTGTATGTTGAAAAAATGGTTATTCTGATATTGTTGGGTGGCTTGTCCTACAAATGTCAATGTTGGCTGATGATTAGAGTGACCAGATTTTAACATAGGTA